CCCCAAAACCCCAAAACCCCAAAACCCCTCTAGCTTGAAATAGTATTAAGTATTGCTAAATTGATAATAAATACAATCATAAACATACTTGTATACATATATATTTATATTTATTGCATGCCAACTAAAGTACTTAAATAGTAAAGTTAAGACTTCTTTCCCAGAAGTGCAAACCATGCCAAAACAAAGGGCTTTATCTTCAATCAAGCACCCATTAACAAAAAGGTAGCTTAAGAGGAACTCAAAGAGAGCATAGTGAGTGGTGGAGCTGAAGGCAAAGGAGTTAAAAAGAACAAGAGATCTGCCTTCATGGCTAAACTCTATGATGATGATGAAGTAATGGACGATGAAATGAAGGTTTTCGATATGGATAGAGCCGATTCAGGTGATGATGCTCCTGAGGAGGGCAAGGTAAAGAAGAGAACTGAAAAAGCTTCAGATAAAAAAGATAGTAAGATAATAAGAGCAAAGACATCTGAGGTCTCTACAAACAAAATCAATAGACTTGTAAGTTCATAGATTGTGGCAATGATTACTATAGAAATTCAACCCAGGAACTGTAGGTTTGTTCGCAATCAGCGAGATTCATCAAAAGTATCTGATAGTCAATTACACCAGAAACACCAAGGGATACGTATCCTTAGAAGGAAGAGAAGACTTATCTAAGAAATTGGAGATTGGGCAGTTCATTATTGCTCAAGTTATCTCGGCAGGGACTTCAAAATATATGGTAGAGTCAAGTGGCAATAGAAACAAGAAGCTTCAACTTACTCTTTAGACTGATTTCCTTAATAAATCTCTGTCTGCTGAGAATCTAGCTAATAACATGGTCCTGTAAGGTGAGGTAGAGTCTAAGGAAGCTAAGGGATTCTTGCTTAACTTTGGATTGAAGGATAAGACCAAGGGTTTCTTGCCTTTTGACGATACCACTGCTCATTTGTAGATTGGTTCAATTGTCCAAGCTTAGATTAAAAGTGTCATGGCTAGCTCTAAGATAACCAAGTGCATTATTGCTGGTTAAACAAGCAACCTGCCAGAGCATACTAATTTCATGAATCAAAAGGAGATAACTCTACATAATCTTAAGCCAGGTTTCCTTGTGAATGCTAAGATATCAAAATTATTGGATAATGGCATTGAAGTAGGTTTCTTAGGAGGCTTCAAGGGAACAATCTTTACAGATCATTTGGACAAATGTGACCCATCAAAGTACAAGATAGGAGAAAAACTAGCAGCCAGAATCATTATGATTGATACTTCTGCCTAGAATATTTCTCTTAGCATTCTTCCACATCTTATTAAGATGCAGACTGTCACAAAGTAGCTTTTGCAAGAAGGCATTAAAGTAGGTTAAGTTCTTGAGAAATCAAGCATTGACAGAGAACTCTACGGTGGTTCTTACAGAATCAAGATAGGTCAAGATCAATTTGGGTTCTTGCATAAGATTCACACCAAGAAGCATGAGTAAGCTGAAGAGGAAAAGGCTTAGGAATCAGAAGAGGAGGAAGAACTCCCAGGAAAGAAGCCAAAGAAGGACAAAAAGAAGTTGACAAAGACTGCAGGTGATTATGAGATCGGGTAGAAATTGGAAAAATTAAGAGTTAAGGAGATCAACTACTTCGATGGTGTTCCAATTCTGTCAATGAGAGAAGATATTGTTACCTCTTCAAGTCTTAACTATGACAACTTGAAATGTGGAGACTTTGTATCAGGAATTATTTAAGATGCTGACGACAAGCAGAGATTTGTAACTATCACCCTTAATGACTTCGTAAGAGGCAGACTCTACTTAGAACACATGGCAGATTACCCTATGAAGGTCATCCCACCCAAGTATCTAGATTTCGGCAAGCCTCTCAAAGTTAGAGTGTTCAACGTAGACCCAGCTACTAGAACGCTAGAGTTTACCAGAAAAGAAACATTCCTTAAAGGCAAAGCTGATGTCTATCAATCTTATAGAGATGTAGCAAAGGGCGCTAAGCTATATGGAGTTATAGTTGGAGAGAATGAACATGGTTACATTGTCAAGTCATTTGGAGGAGTTAAAGGACTCCTTACATTTGCTGATATTAAAACTAATAGCAAAAACTCAAAAAAAGATACTTCATAATTCAAATTCGGAACTCTCATTAAGGCTTATGTTTTATTCAAGAAGAAGGATTAAGGTATGGCTCTTACTCTTGACAAGGTCAAGGCAAAGGAGCTCAGAGAGGAATCTAAGTCAAAGGGAAAGAGCTCCTCAAATGGTGACAAAGAGGGATCTAAGGGTGCTTAGAAGTTTGAGGACTTCTTGCCCACTTCTGATGAGATGACTCAACTTAAGGACAAATATAAGACTCTACTAAAAGTATCTCAAGAAAAATCTAATGTTGGAAAAGTTAATCAGTTCAGAGTGATTGAGCAGACAGATAGATACTTAGTTTGCAAGAGCTTAGATACTGCTAAGAAATCATAAAATTATGTAGCAATTCTGCCCAACATATTGATATGCAAGCATTACTAACCTTCCTTCACTTTAGAAGATTTCACTTTCAATGGTATTAACCTAGAAATTATAACTGATGCCTTCCCAATTATTTCAACCTAGTTTGAGTTGATTAGCCTTAAGGACTAAATTCCAAAGTCAAACTCAGAAATTAGTATCGACAACAGTGAAAGTAGAATTTACGCTGGTTTAGTATCTGAAAGCAACAAAAGTGGAGTCTTCGTCAGATTCCTAGATGGATTGAAAAAGCTTATCATTATTAAAGACCTAGAGACTGTGTAAAACTATACTGAAATCTACACTCCAGGCAAGGTAGTTAGAGTAGCACTCAATAAACTAGGTAGACTATGCTTGAAAAACAATGTTATTTACCTTAACAACGTTGAAAATATAAAAAAGGATCAGCAAGTTAAGATAAAGAGCTTCTATCAAGAGATTGAAACTTAGCTAAAAGCACATCAAGTCAACATTGGAGACAAAGTCTAGGGAGAAGTATCCCTAGTTAAGGATTATGGTTTGATCGTATCTGCTGAAAAATATGAAGGCCTTACTGGATTTGTCCTTACAGACCACTAAGTTGCTGGTAAAAGTTACAAAGAAGGTCAAAAGATTACTTGCATTGTAATGGACATTGACTTTGAGAAAGAAATTATTGATTTAAGTGAAAAACTTGCAGAGGAGAAGTCTAAATCTCAAAAAATTAGTGTTGGTTCTTAATAGATGGCAATAGTTGAGCTAAACAAAGAAGAATACTTGATTGTCAGTTTTAAGCTAAATAGAAAGAAGTTTGCGTTGCTGAATACTCAAACCTTCAATAATGATTTATCTCCTAATCCAAATGACAAATACTAAATAGGTGATGAAATCGAGGTGATAGTAGCTGAGGAGACTGATTCAGGATTTAGTCTCGCAACCCCAGCTCTTAAGAGTGCTGAGAAAAATGCTAAGAATGGCTAAAAGAATGGCGCCCCTCTGATTGCTTTGTAGCCAGGAGTCCTTGTTAACTGCCAAATAAAGAGCAAAAAGCACGATTGTATCTTCATGCAAATACAATAGCAAGGTGGCTTAGTTATTGGAAGAATGCACAGAATTGAATGCCAAAATGATAATGAATTCAAAAATTTCGCAGTTGGTGAAATTGTATAAGCAAAAGTTTTGAAGGTAAGTCAAGATGATAAGAAGACTTGGATTGAGCTCACTAGAAGAAAGGAACACATGAAGAAGACAGTTGGACTTGATCAAGATACCTTAGATAAGACCTTTTAATCAATGGAGGATTTAAAGAATGGATAGCAATATGACGCTCTTATCACTGATGTCAACTATTCATACTCATCTCCAGTCTCTATTAGTTTGTCACCTTTTGTAAGAGGCTCAATAAATTTCGATAAAGTTATTACTGCTGAAACTCTTTAGAAAGAAGGCAGCTCCTACTTGTAAATTTTCAATCCAGGAAACCGCATCAAGGTCACTTACAATAACGGCCATTTCTAGATAATTCAAACACCACCAAAGACTAAACTTGCAAAAGGCATGAAAGTGGTTGTCAGATTTGTGAAAGCAGTCAATGGAAAAGGTATTACTGTCTAGATAGATGAAAAGACATTTGGATTCATTGATATTTCTGAAATTACTGATGATATCATCGGAAGAGTGTGCGAACACTAACTATAAAACTCACCACTTTTTGTAGCAAGGGTTATTGCTTTTGATAAACACGAGAAACCAATTCTATCTGCAAGAGAATCTGTCATTGATGATGCTAAATGGTCACTTATCTTGCCAGAGGGTAAGACAGTCTACTTCATGAAGCATGATGATAAAAATCAAAAGTTAGGAAATCAAAGAAATAAGCTTCTCAAGTTCACAAAGAATATCGGCATCTAAGAGGGTGATCTCTGTCTCGGTTATGTCACTAACATTGGCAAGAGTGGATGTTTTATTTAAATTGGTTATAACACTACTGTAAGAGCAGGTCTTAATGAACTTAATGATGATTCATCATTCGACTTCAAGGATTAAATGCCTTTAGGTAGACTAGTATTGGGAAGAGTTGTGAAAGTTGATGATTAGAAGAGATACAACGTCACTCTTAGAAAGAGCATGGTTGTATTCGGTACCAACTCTATTGATAGATCAGGTATTCAACCAGAGTCAACAGTCGAATGTATTGTTATGGCTTTAGCTGATGGCAAAGCATTTGCTTAAATCAAGGGCAGTTATCATAAACTAAAAATAAAGAATATTGGCAAGACTTCCTTAAAAGCAGGTGACCATGTTATGGCTAAGTTAGAGAAGGTCTCTAAACTAAAGATTACAGCATAGTTTGTTGAAAAGGTTAAGGATTCAGGAATGAGTGAAGATGAGAAAAAGGTCGAGAAATTATGGAAGCTTATTGAAGAAGAAGCATAGAAAGATATTGAAGCTCAGAGAGATCAAACACATTAAGAAGAGATCAACTTCCAACATATTAAAAATCTTGGTAATCAGCAAGCTGACATTGAAGAACAAATAAAAGACTTGAATGAACTTGAAGATTAAGATGAAGATATGGAGGTAGTTCAAGGAGATGATAGTGATGCTGAGGAAATGTAAAGAATTATCAAGGAAAGCAAAACCTATGAAGATGAAAGCGAAGAAGATGAAGATGAGGAAATGGAAGATGAAGAAGATAATGACAGTGATCAAATGGATGTGGATGATGATAGTTCTGATGAAGAGCAAAACAAGAAAAAGAAGAGTGGAAAGCAATCACTAAAGTAAAGAGTAAAGGAGGAATAAGATATTAGGAAGCAAGAGAAAGCACTGAAGGATGGCAAGAACCAACCTAAAAATATTGATGATTTCGAGAGACTCTTGATCCAAAACCAAGACTAGAGTTATGTGTGGATCTAATATATGGCTCTAATGATTGATAAACTCGGAATAGAGTCAGCTAGAAAAGTGGCTGAGAGAGCTGTTAAGAGTGTGTCAATTTCTAATGAAGAAGATAAATTCAACATTTGGGTTGCATACATGAATCTTGAGAACAACTTTGGCAGTTAGGAGAGTCTTGAGAAAGTTATCAAGAGAGCCCTTGAAGTTAATGAGAGAAAAAGAATTTACTTGCAACTTATCAGCATCTACCAAGCATCTCAGAAATATAACTATATTGAAGACATCTACAAGTTGCTATGCAAAAAATTCAACACTTCTTTCAAGATTTGGTCTTCATTCTTGGACTTCTTGTTCACAATGAAAGATCTTAAGAAGGACAAAACTAATTTCCTGGTAAGAGAACTCATTTTCTCAGAACCAAAGCAAGTACTATAAAGAGCTCTTTAGAGTCTGCCAAAAGATAAGCATGTCAACATCATTTGCAAGTTTGGATAATTAGAATTCAAGCACGGACAGCCTGAGAGTGGAAGAACTATGCTTGAGGGTATTGTAACTAACTATCCCAAGAGAATGGACATCTGGGCTATATACATGGATATGGAATCAAAGTATTGCGGGGATAACAAGCAATAAGCTAGACACTTGTTTGAGAGATGCCTGACTAATGAAATTATTATGAAGAAGCCCAAAAAGATGAAGCTAGTGTTCTAGAAGTACATGGAGTTTGAAATGAACAACGGCAACAAGAAGAACGTTGAAAAACTCAGAGAGAGAGTTGAGCAGTATCTTGAGAAGGCATTCAATAAAGAAGATAAGAATGACTCTGACTCTGAATGAGCTTCTGAAGGTCAGATATTTATTAATTAAGAATTAATTATAAGTTCATAATGATTTACTGTTAATATTCAATGCTAATATGCGCTAATGGGGTTTTGGGGTTTTGGGGTTTTGGGG